TCTGTGGATGTGACTCCTCTAGGGGCCTCCTGTGAGGGGATCACACAGTGTCTGTCCTTCTGTGTCTGGCTCATGTCACTGAGCGTCATGTCCTCGGGGTCCATCCACGTTGGAGCAGGTGTCAGAATCTCCTTCCTTTTCATGGCTGAGTCATATTCCAATGTGTGGATGGACCACATGTGTGTATCCATCATCCATTGATGGACACTTGGGTGTTTCCACGTTTTAGCTATTGTGAACATGGGTGTGCAAATATCTATTTGGGACACTGATTTCAGTTCTTTGGCTATATACCCAGAAGTGGGATGGCTGGATCGTATGGTAACTCTGTGTGTAACTTTTTGAGGAACCGCCATCCTGTTTTCCGCAGCGGCTGCGCCATCATTCCCACCAGCCGTGCACAAGGATGCCAATTTCTCTACATCCTCGATGACACATTTTCTTCCATTATTTTGCGTTGGTCACCCTCTTGCTACTGTTCTCGTAATGACTCAGGAGGCTGGGTGGCTGGGCAGAGCCCAGGCTGCCCCAGAGCCACCTCTGTCAAGTCCCCGTCCCATCCTGGACTATTTTGGGCGCCGTTACGGGCAGATCAGCTTATCCGGGCTCCGTGCCTGTGGTAAAGGGCAAGCCTTGGCAGGCCCCCCAGGCACTTCCTCCTGGTCCTGCCCCATGTCTCTCTCGGCGCAGGACCCCACGACCTCAGTCGCAGCCGTCCCCCGTGGCCCTCCACTCCAGCCCTGGCATCCACCACACCGATCAGCAAACATTTTCTGCAAAGGGGCAGAAAGTAAGTATTTTCCTCTTTGCAGACTGGAGAAGCCCTGTCGAAGCTTCTCAGCTCTGCCTCTGTAGCCCAGGCACAGATGACACATACGCAAATGGGGGTGGCTGCGTGCCAATAAAACTTTATTTATAGGCACTGAAATTTGAATTCCACATAATTTGCATGTGTCACGAAATTTAATTCTTCCTGCTATATTTTCCCCTGACCGTTTAAAAATGTGAAACCAGGGCCGGCCCTGTGGCTTGGTGGTTAAGTGCGCGCGCTGCGATGCTGGTGGCCCGGGTTCGGATCCCGGGTGCGCATCGAGGCACCACTTCTCCGTCCATCCTGAGGCCGAGTCCCACATACAGCAACTAGAAGGATGTGCAGCTATGACATACAACTATCTACTGGGGCTTTGGGGGGAAAAAATAAAAAAAAAAAAAAAAAAAATGTGAAACCATTCTTAGCTGACAGGCTGTACAAAAACTCGCAGCGGGCCAGATTCGGCCCACGGCCCGTAGTTTGCAGATCCACATATCACACACCCATAAACGTTTGTTGAGTGAACCACCGTTTAGGGCCCCATTAAGACAGGTGCCCGATTTATTAGCCTGACGGTAACGTGCTGTTAATGAGTAGATGGGCATTAATGCATTTTTTAAATAATTTTTATTTATTTATTTATTTTTCCCCAAAGCCCCAGTAGATAGTTGTATGTCATAGCTGCACATCCTTCTAGTTGCTGCATGTGGGACACGGCCTCAGCATGGCCAGAGAAGTGGTGCCTCGGTACGTGCCCGGGATCCGAACCCCGGGCCGCCAGCAGCGGAGCGCGCGCACTTAACCGCTAAGCCACGGGGCCGGCAACATTAATGCATTTTTGATTCAAGTCACAAATGTTGAAAATGCCCCTGAATAAAATAAAAGTCACATTGGGTGTTTTTTTTTCTTATCAAATCCTAAAGGATTTTTTAAACAGCTTTATTGAAATAGAGTGAACATACCATACAATTTACCCATTTAATGTGTCTGCTTCAAATTTTTTTGTATTTTCATAGGGTGTGCAATCAGTTTTAGAAAACTTGTCCACCCCATAATGGAGCCCCATCCCCATGAAACACTGACTCCCCCTCCCCCAGCCCCTGGCCCCACCGTCTACTTTCTGTCTCTGTGGATGTGACTCCTCTAGGGACCTCCTGTGAGGGGATCACACAGTGTCTGTCCTTCTGTGTCTGGCTCATGTCACTGAGCATCATGTCCTCAAGGTCCACCCATGTTGGAGCAGGTGTCAGAATCTCCTTCTTTTTCATGGCTGCGTAATATTCCAGTGCGTGGATGGACCACATTGTGTTTACCCATCATCCACTGATGGACACTTGGGGTGTTTCCACCTTTTGGCTACTGTGAATCATGCTGCTATGAACATTCATATACAAGTTTTTATTTGAACACCTGTTTTCAATTCTTTTGGGTACATTCCTAGGAGTGGAACTGCAGAGTTATATGGTAATTGGTTCTTTTCTCTTCTTTCCCCCGTAATTTCCATATGTTCACTGGGTTTGTTCAAACCTGTCTGGACTGCAGGTTTTTCCTGCCAGCTGTGGGCTGTCACCCTCAGGTCAAGGGACACCCCGTCCTCCCCCTCTCACCCCCTATCACCCCCCTTCCAGGGCTCTAGTCTCCACCAGACCTTCCAGCCTCCCTTGGGCAAAAGGAATGGGATCTGAGGAGACTGGGTTCAAATCCCAGCTCTGCCAAGCCACTGGCCATCTCTGAGCCTCAGTCTCTCCGTCCAGGCAATGGGCGGAAATGATAAACTGTCTCTCGGAGGTTTCGGGGAAGGCTTGGGGGGACGTGGTTCTGGGGCGGGAAGTGTGTCCTTTATGAGCATCCTGGGTCGTGACAGCTTCCTGATAACCCCGTGAAGTGGGTGTCAGCTCCAATCACAGGGGAGACGCCGGGGGCTCAGCCGAGAGTCAGGGGCACCTTGGGCTCGGCTGACTTCCCAGCCACGTGTTGCGCCATCTGTTGAAAACTTGCAGGAAATTTCCCCTTTGGGGAAACTGAGGCCCCAGGACCCCAAGCAGCTCCTGGGTCACATCGGTATAAGTCCAACAGGTGGACACTGTAGCTGTCCAGAGCCCTCAGTGCCAGCCCCAGAGGCCACCAACGAACCAAGGCGAGGGGACAGGAGGGTCCCTCTCGGCGCCTCAAACACAGCAGGCTGGACCCCAGTGGTTATAAAAACAGGACCAGGTTTAATACTTAAGTGGCTGTGAGGTTACAAAGGCATCTCGGGGGGGATCCCGGGGCCCCGAGATGCTGAGCTGTGAGGGGGGCCTCTACCCTCCCCTGTACAGACGTCCCCAAAGGGAAACGGTCACGCGGTGTCCGGCTGGGACGCTGCCAGCCTGGCCGCGCTGTGGCCGGAGTCGCGTGTGGCCCCTGCTCTCCAGCCACGCCTAGGAGCGGTTCAGAAGCAGGTTCTGAATGTCTTCCAGGACTTGCTGGAAGAGCTCCTCGCGGGACTTCATGCCGTCCAGGTACACTGGAATCAGAAAGGCCACAGTCGGGGCCAGGTCGCCGGGGCTGCCGCCAGGGGGCAGGCGGCCAGCTCGCAGGGGCCGGGCGGACTGCCGGGTCGACCTGCGGAGTCAGGCTGCTGGCATAGACCAGCCTCTGGGGCCAAAAGCAAGAGGGACTGGCGGTGAGACTTGAGGAGGGACTTCCAGGTTTCCCGAGTGGTCCCGCCGGGAAGGCCCCAGGGCCAGGCCTCCTCTCACTCAGGGGCTTACCCACTTCCACGCCGTTGGCCTCCATCTCCCGCTTGTATTTCTGGTACATGGGCCAGACGTGGCCGTCGAAGAGGCCAGGGGGATCGGGGACCTCGTAGCTTCGAGTACTGGGGAGGGAGATGGGGGAGAATGAGCGACACCCACGTCACCCGAGGGTGGTGCCATATGCAGAGCTTGGGGACGTGAACTTGGGGGGGGACAACACCACGGAGAAAGGGGACCCCACTGAGGCAGGGGCCCCAAGCTGGGGCCTGGGTCCCCCGACTTCCAGCATCTTCACCCTGTGGGCAGGGGAGAGGCCCAGGGCAGGGCAGGGCGGGCCATGCCATCCAGGCGCCGGGCCGTGGGCTTCTGGAGCAGGGCGCCGGCCAGCTGCTGCCCGCTGTCCGTCAGCCTCCAGGGCGGCCGGGGCCCAGCGGGCGTGGTCCGGTCTCCTGGGCCCGTGTGGGAGTCCAGCCCGGCCCCAGGCTCACCTCCTCCGTCTCTTGCATTCTTCATACGGGACAGTCAGGAAGTACCGCCGGCTGTACAAGTCCAGCAGGGGCCTGGCCCGGGTGGGGGACACGGTTAGCACCACGGGACTTCCGTCAACGGCGGTCCCAGTGCACAACCCACGGGCTTGGCCTCCGGGCACTTTCCCGGGTGGTGGGGCTGGGGGGCTCTGGGCCGGTGAGTTTAGGGGTCAGGGAGCTGACCAGCATCGGCCAGTTTCCTCCTGTGCCCCAGGAACATCCCCACAGCAGCCCCCAGGGATGGAACCCTCCCTCTCCCCCAGTTTAGACGGGCCCAGAGAGGTACCGCATCTTGCCCAGGGTCACACAGCAAGGCCGGGGGTCCAGCCCAGCCTCCTGCTCTGCTCGAGGAGGCTGAGGTTCTAGAATGAGGACTCAGTTTCCCCAAGAAGCACGACTGTTTGCCCCAGACCTTTCAGCTGAGCTCAGCTCTGCCCCCGTCCCCGGGCCTCCTGCTGCCCCCCACCCCCACCCCGGCCTCGGCTCCTGTCTGGCGAAGTGGGGGGGCCGGGGCTGTCCGGGGCCCGGCCCCACAGAGGCTCACTTGTAGCTATAGAGCAGGAAGCCTTCCAGAAGGAGGATGTGCGTGTCCGGGGCGTCCGGCTGGACGCTGACCCCGTGGGCGCGGGCGAACTTCTGGGGGCTGCTCACCCAGGCCTGGACAGTGCTCAGCATGGCCCTCATGTCCAGCGACTCCAGCACTGGGGGGAGGGCGGGCGTCAGGCGGGGCCGGGGACCGGGGGACAGTGCGGGGCAGGGGCACGGGGCCGCCGACCGTCCTTACCGTCCCACTGTTTGAAGCCGTCCTCCCCAACTGCTATTTGGTCTTGCGGCTGAAACAGAGGGGCCCAAGCTTCGGGCTCAGTCCCCGCCCTGGGTGACAGTCTCGGTGGGCCCCTGGGCGCCCGGAGAGCCCCCGCGAGGGGCCCGCGTGGAGCTGCCCCAGCCCCTCACAGCCGATGCTTATAGGCTCCGAGGTCCTGGGCGGAGTGGGGCGCCCGGCTGGCACTCGGACCCCCCACCTCCCCGACTCTTGGGAGCAGGAGGGAGAGGACTTTGCATCCATCACTCGTTAGCCCTCACCCTCTGCAGAGACCAAGGGGGGGCTCGGAGCCCACTCTGCAGTTGGGAAAGCAGAGATTCAGGGGGATGAAGGCCCGGGGGCACGTCCCCTTTGGAACCACAGTTTCCCCATCAGTCCACGGGTGTCCAGTGGGAAAGTGCTGGGCATCCGAGAGATGCTGTCCCAGTGTGGGTCAGCGCAGGGCCACCCGGGAGGGCTCAGGAGGGCGGGCGGAGGCCCCTGTCTGGCCCACGCGGGCGCTGGGCAGTAGAGGGCGGCCGCTTGCCCCGATCCCCTTCTCGGGGGGCCGCCTCCCCCACACCCCCCGGGCGAGGGCGGCCACCTTGAAAAAGTCGTCCTGGTGGATCACGCAGCAGTTGGGCAGCGACCTGAGCAGACTGGTGGTCAGCGTGGTCTTGCCGCTGTTGGTCATGCTGCCAAGAGAGCATCGAGTGAAGCCACTCGGGTCCCCTCCACCCCGGGCCCATCCGGGTCCAAGGGGCCCCCCGGAATAAAACCCAGAACCGCAAAACTGTGGCCCTAAGAGGATGTTTCTATTTGTCGAGGGTCAGAGGAGGCTTTCTAAGCAGAGAAAAGGGGCAGAGAATGTGAAAACTAGCAAAAAAAGCCAACCCACAGTCTCAGCCCACGGCAGCCACGTCTAAGCGTGGTTTCCACATTTAAACTCGGTTCATGGGCCAGCCCCGGGGCTTGGCGGTTAAGTGCGCGCGCTCCGCTGCTGGCGGCCCGGGTTCGGATCCCGGGCGCGCACCGACACACCGCTTCTCCGGCCATGCTGAGGCCGCGTCCCACATACAGCAACTAGAGGGATGTGCAGCTATGACATACAACTATCTACTGGGGCTTTGGGGGGGAAAATAAAAATAAAAAAATGAAAAATAAACAGGCCTAGGGGCATATTTTTAAAAAAATTAAAAAAATATAAACTTGGTTCAGCCCTCCTGCCAACCTGGGAGGTGGGGCCATGAGCTGATTTTTACAGACGGGGAAACTGAGGCCCCAGCATGAGTTAGCCTCCGTGGGGCTTAAAAAAAGTCAAAATGTTAAGTCAGGTGCAGACTGGGAGAGAAGAAAATGTTTGCAATAGGAAACCCAGCGGTTCACACAAAACCTGGAAGAGGCAGCCACCTTATGGTGGAGGTACAGCCTCGTGGTAATCGAGAAGAGACAAAAAAAAAAAAGAAAAGAAAAAGGAGTTGGCAGACTAGGGTGACCAACTCGTCCTGGTTTCCCCGGGCCTTCTCTGGTGTTAGGGCCGAAAGTCCCGAATCCCTGGGACCATTCAGCGCCAGGTCACTCCACGGCAAAGGGAACAAGGACGTTTGACCCTTGGAACTGACAAAGGGCAGAGAACACTAGCGGTCAGGTCTTTCCAGAAAGCAGTATCCCCGTGACCTCATTGTTCTTATTCTAGGTGTCAGGGACATAAAGCTGGGTGTGGAAGTGGTGGGGGGGAAGCCGCCGCCCTTAAAAAGGGCCAATGGGGGAGGGGCACCCCCGTATATTAAGGGGGAGCAGGTTAGAACATGCCTGGCGTTAATTTGGGTTGTTATAAAAGGCACAGCTCGTGCTCAGAGCCCGCAAAGAATGTGCAGGGCCCGGCACAAAATGAAACGTGGGGGCCCTTGATCCAACATATGTATTGGGAATTTCAACAGGGTGACAGCAGAGCATTAGACCAAGTGGGGGAGGGCCCTGGGCGATGCCTGGGTGGGTCATCCCCTGTCCCTGGAGCCAGCCCTGCTTATGCCAGATGCTGCCCAGGCATCCTCTTAAAAGGCTGGTTGTTGGTAATAAAATGGAGAGTTTGGCCCCCCGGGAGGCGAGGCCCCTGCCTGAGGTCGTGCAGAAGTGGCTTCAAAGGCAGGAGCTTACACACTGCCCCACCTGCCTGGTGCCTGCCCCCGATGGGGTGTCCCCCCATGTCCACCCCCAAGGACGCCCCAGCGCCTTCAGGGTCTGCCTGACCTCTACATAATCCTCTGTCCCCACCGGGTTTGGGGTTGACACTGAGTTTAAGGGCGAAAAGTGATGTCCATTTGGAAATTTAAAACTGGGCCCGGCGCCCAGCCCCTGAGGGCAGGGACCCCTCTCTGCGCTCCGACCTCGGGCAGCGGGCCCCGCGACCCCAGGCGCTGGGCAGCCCTCCGTTCATTCCCGGCCTCCCTCCCCGAGACCTCCGCCCGCGCACGGGCGCTCACCCTCCGATGCCCACGATGTGTTTCATCTCGGCGCGGAGGGGCGGCGGGAACCACTGGGCCAACCCAGCAGCGCAACCCGGCTTCATTGAGAAAACCTTTATAGGCCGGGCAGCCCGGAGGCCGGCCCGGGGGAGGCGGCCCGCGGCCTATGGGGAGGGCGCCGCACCTGTTCCCACCCACCTGATGGAAATAACGTGGTGCCGCCTTTTGCCTAAATTAGTCACGGGCTGGCGGGAAGGGGGGCGTGGGGAGGTGTCACCTCGGCCACCGGCCACCTCGTCCCTCCTCCCGCTCTCTCTCCCTTTCTCCTCCTCCCCCCTCCCAGCCAGGCTGGCCACGTGACAGATACCAGCCACCACCCTAAAAATATCCCGCCCAGTGTGTCCCCTGCCCTGACCCTGACATTAAGACCGGCTCTGGTGGCTTTGGGGAAAAGGAACTCACCCTCCCTCCAGCCCTAGGATCAGCCCCGGAGGCCCCGGCTGTACCTGGAACTTCCCTCCCCAAGGGGGATGCTGCCAAGATGGCTTTAAGGTCCAGAGTGTTTAAATGGGTTACAGTCACTGATAATATTCACCACATTATAAATTAAAACAGAAAAATTTAAAACATGTATTAACCTTTAAAAATAATAACAGCCAACCACCACAATCAACCATACACTGCTACTGTATTATAAATATAATATTTTATGAAAAATAATATATTTTGAAAATAAAAAAATTCAGGGAGGGAGCTTGATGAAAATGAAAACTTTTGTGCATCAAAGGACATTATCAGGGAAGTGAAAAGACAAACCAGAGAATGGGAGAAAATATTTGCGAGTCACGTATCTGGTGAGGATTTAGTGTCCAGAATATATAAAGAGCTCTTACAAGTCAATAACAAAAAGACAAATGGCCCATTTAAAAATGGATTTAAGAATTGCTGGTTCAGAATCCCATGAACACAATGCCATCTATACAGAAGCTGAAATATAATGACATATGCCTGAAATTTATAGTGTTATGAACCAATGTGACTTCAATAAAATAATTTTTTAAAAAAAGAATCCTGGGTTGAATCCTGGTTCTGCCACTCGCCGGCTGGGGGGTCCTGGGCCCCATCCTTACCTCTCTGTGCCTTACTGTCCTCACCTTTATAATGGGGGGCGAGGGGGGACAGCTGGCCCCAACCATGGGGGGAGGCTCTCTTTGGCCTTGGGATCCCACTCCCAGGAGGTTTTATGGAGGGAGAGGGGGGAGAGAGAGGGAGAGACAGAGGATATCCTGCTCCACCCATCACTTACCTGCCCCTCAGCAGTCTGAGCTGCTGCCACAGGGCCTTTGCACATGCTGATCTCTCTTCTAGGAACCCCCTCCTCTCACCCAGGCCTTCTCCTTCTGGCTAACTTTGACTAAAGCATCATGTCTCAGCTTGGATGTCCCCTCCTCCAGGAAGCCTTTCTGGATCCCTGCCCCCTCCCTCCACACAGGGAGGGCCACATGTGTCTTGTTCTCTGCTGTGTCCCCAGTGCCCAGCAGGGCAGGGCTCACAGAAATCAGAGGCTCCCTAAATGGTAGAGGAAGGAATGAATGAGACAGGAAGGAGCAGGAGATCATTGAATCAAGCCGCTTGGTGGAACACGGGGAAACTGAGGCCAAGGGTGAGAAGGAGGGTGTTGGAGTTAGAAAATGGAGCTCCTGCCTCCGATATCCAAATGCCTTCGCCCTCCCTCCTCCCCGGCCCCCAAATTCCGTCCTTTGGGAAGGCTGCCTGAATGGTTCCCAGGGACGTCCCCGTTCTCACCCCCAGAAGCTGTGAACACCTTCCCTTTTGTGGCAGGAGAGTCTTTGCGGGTGGGATTCAATTCAGGCCCTTGACTGGGGAGACGGTCCTGGATTATCTGGGGGGGCCCCAAATGCAGACACAAGTGCCCTTATAAGCCAGAGGCAGAGGGAGATTTGACACTCACACCAGAGCAGGAGGCCGTGTGACACCGAGGCAGAGACGAGGGATGCGGCCACGAGCCAGGGGCTGCGAGCGGCCCCAGAGGCTGGGAGAGGGGGGGCCCGATTCCCCCCGAGAGCCTCCGGCAGGAGGGGCCCGCCGACCCCTTCGTTTAGCCCCGTGACACTGATCTTGCCCTCCTGGCCTCCAGAACCATGAGCACAAATGTCTGTTGTTTTCAGCCACTGAGTCTGGGGTTCTACACGGAACTTTGTGAAAACCCAGAGCTGGTCTCTCTCAGTTCCAACTCTCCCCAGCGCCCCGTTAGCATTTAAAAGAAGCCCACCGCCCTCCCCCCAGGCCCTCCCCTGCCTGGCCCCCCATGACCTCTGCGACCTCCCTCCCCCCACTCCACCAGCAGGACCTGCAGTGGCCAGGAGAGCTGCTCGGGACCAGCCAGCAGTGGTCAGAAAGCGACTCATCTTGTGGACACTGGTTAATGGACTCCCCGCCTGTCCCCAGGCAGGACTGACCTGGCACAGAGGGCAGGAGAGGTCACTGGGCGGTGACCCTTGCCTCCAGTGGCCACCGGGGGCAGGGGTACATATGGCCCGACAGGGGTCTTCCCCGCCTCTCTCCTCCTCCCACCTCCAGCCCCGCTCTGTCCCCGTGGGTCTGTTTCTGGACGTGGGACCCCTGAGCCCCGACAGGCGCCCGGCAGGGGGCCGGGAAAGCCCAGCACCAGGCTCGACCTCTGGCCCAGTTTCTGGGGCAGGAATTTCCTGGAGCCTCCTTGCGGGGCACGTGGCCCGGCCACGGTGACAATGACACGCCCAGATAGAGGCGCTGGCAGGGCGCCGCTGGGAGGCCTCCGGGGCTGGCTCACGGGGCACAGAGACTCCCAGTTCACACCCGCCTGTCCCCAAACAGCGCACAGGCCCAAGGTCACTAAAAGTGACCATCCCGTCCCAGAGTGTGTGATCCCATTGACGTGAAATGTCCAGAACAGGCAGATCCACAGACAGAAAGTGGATTCGTGGTCCTCGGGGGCTGGGGGAGGGGATGGGGAGTGACTGCTCATGGGGGCAGGGTTTCTTTTGGGGTGATGGAATGTTCTGGAACTAGACAGAGGTGATGGTTGCATAACATCGTGAATGCACTAAATGCCACTAACGGTAAACTAAAAAAAAAAAAAGAAAGACCAGGCCCTAATTTAGCTCTGGGTTTCCCTGGAACGCCCACAAGGCCCGATGCCGCCCCCATCCCCCTCTAGGCTGCACTGCCCCCTCTCGCCCTTCATTTTCCTGCTCCTGGCTCGCCCAGCTCTGTCCCACCTCCAGGCCTTTGTCCTTGCGGGGCCCTCTGCCGGGGACGCCTCTCCCCGGCCCGTTGGCCTGGCTAACTGCTGCTTCTCCCTCTGGCTCCCATCAGAGAGGACCCTTCCTCCAGGGACACTTCCTGGGCTCGGCTCCTGGTCCCCAGTGAGGCCCCAGCACCTGCGTCAAGCTCCCCACTGGGCTGGGAGCAATGTGAGGGGCCTTGGTCCCTGCGGGACCCCCAGTGCCCAGCAAATGCGTGAATGAATGAGTGAGTGAGTGAGTGAATGAGTGAGGTTTTCAAGAAACCCCTTAGGGTAATCAGAGACTCGGTGGGGCGGGCCCACCACCCCCAAACTGGGAGCGGCACCCTCTGATCACAGCACTGGCTTTATCCTCCTCAGCCCCCTGCCCCGGCCCAGGCAGCCTCGCCCCCTCCCGAGACGCCTCCTCCGGGAAGGACACCTCGCCTGATGTCACAGGGCAGATGGCAGAGCCCCCGCCACCAACCGATGGTGACTCTGTGTGGACATCACAACCGCCCCGGCATCCGTGCCACCGGCAGGTGTGGACAGTGGGAGGGCTCCCCCGCAGCTGGCCGAGGGCCGTGGGCCCCCGGCCGTGCCCTGGGGTGGCCAGTAGGGACGGGGCACAGGGTCAGGCCTCAGAGCCATCACTCACTGTCTGTGGGACCCCGGGCGAGCCACGTCACCTCTCTCTGCCTCAGTCTCCCCTCGGGAACACGGGGGCTGCGCCAAGTCAGACACAGACTGTTACTCAGTTATGTTGTTATTATTATTGTGATATTGTGATTTATAATAAATACATATTTGGTTTTAGTCCCATTTCTCAGCACCCAGCTCCTAAAACCCTTGAACCTCCCAAGTGATAAGAGGGCGCATCTTCTGTTACATTTGGTTCTGAAACAGCCCCAGAGCGCAAAGGCGAAAGGAGTGTCCTTTGCTATTTGTAACAAGCCCGTGACACACCTGAGTTTATGCTAATGAGGCGGCTTTGGAAAGACCCTACAAGCACAGGACGGGGCTGGTGGCCCGGGACCCAACCGTGGGGTCAGAGGGATGGCGCTCTCAGCCTCCCCCTCGACCTCCGGGAGGGGCGAGGGGCTGGGGATCGAGTCCATCACCAACGACTAGCAATGCCCTCAATGGTGCCTTCGTGATGGAGCCTCCATAGAGACCCTGAATGAAGGGGTCCGGAGAGGTTCCGGCGGGAGGAACACGGGAGGGGCTGGGAGGGTGGCGCCCGGGGAGGGCATGGATGCTCCGCGCCCCTTCCCCACACCCTGCCCTGTGCATCTTCCATCTGGCCGTTCCTGCGATGTGTCCCCTGTACCACACCGGTGATCTCGTAAGTAAACTGCTTCCCTGATTCTGTCAGCTGCTGTGGCAAATTGTCCAACCTGAAGTGGGGAGGTGGGGTGGGACCCCCCATGTGCAGCCATGTTGGGTGACTGGGGACCCACCGCTTGTGATTGGCATCTGAAGTGGGGCCGTCTTGTGGGGCTGAGCCCTGAACCTCTGGGGTCTGCCCTAGCTTATTATTATTATTAATGTTATTAACTGCCAAATAGGTTTGATTCCAGAGAGGATTGGGGGCAGGAGATGAACTTGAATTCCAGAGAGGCAGAGCCGGGAAGGGTCTCAGGAATAACGGAGCCAGCCCCCCATTCTGCAGAGGGGAGACGAAGCAAGTGAAGGCAGGCAATGGCTCAAGGTCACTCAAGGTTGCTCAAGGTCACCCAAGGTCGCACAGCGTGGAGCAGCCCCCTCCTGGCCCCCGTTAG